GACATTTTTACAATAAGCATCGGAATTATAAACGCATTGCACTTAAATTGAATCTTTAATCAATATTGTAATAGATATCCACACGTGTACATAATTATATAATGAAAAATGAGTAAATTATGATTACCTCCAGCTGGACATTTACATATATCAAAGTCACACTCTCGGTTATGTTCAAAACAAGAACATTTTTTTGTTCCACAAACATTATCTCCGCTATAACATTTACAACCTTGAAATCTTCTTTCACCTTTACCAAATAAATAAAGTTGTTAATAATGATATATAATCGTTCAAAATAAATAAAATAATAAAAACATACACTTTTTCTCACAGTGACAATACTTTTCACAGTGAAGATTTCCTTTTAAACAACTGCATTCAGCACTCGTGCAATCTTCACCAGGCATCATTCTCTTTTTTTAACCAGAAATTAATTTAATGATTGTCAACAATAGATAATCAAATAAATAACTTTTTTGAAAAATACCAATTATTACTGCTCTTTTTGATGCTTTTTTATTAATTATTCTTGGCTCTTCATCATTGCTTGCAATAATGTTACCAACAAATTGTGATCTTTGATAAACCTTTTATATTATTAAAAAAACCAATCATAATTCAGATTTAAGTTCAAATATATATATACATATATACATACAATTTACCTCTTTACAAAGCTTAGATTTGATTATAGTGGCTAATGTACAATAACTTTTAGTACCAAACACTTCACGTAATTTATTGAATAATGTAATTTCTTCATCATTCCACTCAGAGTCAAAATGGAAATAACTTCAAATAATGAATATTCAAATAGAAGAAAAGAAGAAGATGGTGAACGTTCAACTTGTAATAGATACAATACTGATTATACATGGTGCAGATAATGTGGTCCACGACTATTAACTCAAGAATGGACTACAGTCAAAGTTCGTTAAATTCATAATTCCGGCACAGCAAATTTTATCGAATTATTCCATGAGAATATATATTTCTATAAAAGGATAAGATTTTCAGAAAAAAATGAACGAGATACTCATATATGAATTTAAAGAGCGAAATTTCATACATGGTGACATATACAAAAGGTCAGAGATTTATGAATTTATCAAATTATTATCGAGATTTGGTTATTACTATTATCGAATAAAATTTTAATATAAGTGGCACTGGTTCCTGAAAAATTATAATTTAAGGAATTATGAATTTATCGCATATGAATTTAACGAGCTTTGACTATAGTGGTAATGGTGCATTAGATGAAATAATTAAAAGTTCACAACTTAAAACAATATACTATGATAATTGGAGTTATCTTCAATGGTTCCTTACGAAGATTTGAAAGTACTTGAAAAGATAGGCGAAGGCGGATTTGCAACCATATACAAAGCTACTTTGATAAATGGTGATAAATCTGTGGACAAGGAAAATAATAAAATAAATTGTAAAGAGAGAGTTGTCACATTAAAAAATTACATAATTCTCAAATATTTCAGATGAATTTTTAAACGAGGTAAATAAGTTTATTAGTATTTTTTCCAGTTTTTTTATAAATATAATTACTGAAATTAAATATCTATAACTATGTATTTTTAGTTCAAAAATTATGTTAAATTTCATCTATCTCATATAATTCCTAATTCTTATTTTGGATTGACACAAGACCCAATTATAAAAGAATATATTTGTAATCAGATATATATGGAAGACGGAAGTCTTCAAAATTATTTATCAAAAGAATTTAAAAGCTTGAGATAGGATAAAATAGATTTTATTACTTATATTATTGATGGTTTATGGGAAATCCGTAATGAAGAAATCTCCAAATGAAAATAATAGAGTACTGTTATATATAACGCCCGAAGTCATAGAGGTAAACCATACTCGATATATACAGTTTTGGTGTATTGATGTCAGTAATAGTAATATCAACTGACCAACAACCATTCAGCAATTTATTACATGGTACAAGTCTTGCGATAAAGATATGCAAGGGAATAATACCAGATTTCTCAATAACACCCCAAAACTTTATATTCATTTAGCAGTCTTTTTTGAAATTGGGCAAATACATGTTTTTATTTTAAAAATGCAACTTATGATCTTGGTTGTTGTT